GTAGGGGGGGGTTGTCTTTCATCATGGGGGAACAAAATGAAGGCAGCGCGGATATTGACCAAGATGTTACTGATCAGCTTCTTCGTTGGTGATTTGTGGGTGTCTTTGGTGGTCGAGTGGGTTGGTTTGAGTTGAGTGGGTTAGCGTGAGCCTCAACGGTGTTGGCGTTGCACTGACTGTGTCGGGGGCTCTCTGTGCAGTATGGTGGCCCTGTTGGTGTTGCTGCCTCGCGCCACCAGACAGGGCGGGTGAAAAGGTGCCGGGTGAACGAGTGATGTGTGCCCAGTTAGTTTGATAGAGAGGCCAGGTCCAGCAAGGGAAACAAATTGATTTAGCCAATGGTCGTGGATACTGCTCCATTTATGTTTGACAAGCGCCGCAGGCGTCGGCGATAGATTGAATTCGGGAGGGGGGGCACACGTGCGAAAGCCTTACTAGTCACGTTGAGAGAAGGGATCTTTTTCGGCCAGTGCGGGGTATTTTATATTTCTGGTTGATGCATCTCAAAACGTAGCTTGTTTTCTTTATTATTCCCATGTTGAAGGTATGCATAGAAAGAAGAGGAGTGCGATAAAAGGGGGGTGTGGAGTGGGTGGCACACGGGGCAAAGCGGCACAGCTCGCTTTTTGGGAAATACTTGTGTTTGTGTCCCGGGATATTGTTGAAGACGTGTTGCTGCTGAGAGGCACGGAAGCAGTGGAGCAGCCGTCGTGTATTCCTCGCTGTCCTTGCTTCAGAAACTGAGACGAAAACAGGGCCGCAGCAGTAAGAAATGCGGCGTGAACTGCCACGTTGTTGCGGAATAGAATGTCGCAGGTTTGTCGCCAACAAGAGCTGGAATTAATGTATCTATCAGTCAACAAGGGAACACGCCCGAACACGACAGTGTGGCGTTGCGGCGGGGAGTGGCGGTACGAAGGACCGGCACTAGCTGTGTCCTGCATTTGGTACCGTTGCGGTGTCTCTTTTCGGCGTTGGGTGGCGGTTCTTATCCCTGCACGTGGAGCAATATTTAACGGGTAAGAGCACACCTTGGCAACATGCGAAACGAAGACCGAAGGGCGGACCACGCAAGCCCCATATGTGCATCAGGCGGTTTTCTTCTCTGATTGTGTGCCCGCCAGCGCAACTAAGTGCACAGCTCTTGCACACCAACAACCTACGGTATCACGAGACCAATCTCGGCCGTCGGTTAGCTCAAGCGAGAGCCCACAGCACACCTCGTTCGGCATTTCTGCTTCGTTTGGAACCCCCTCCGGCTTTTTCTCCCATGATCGTGGCGGTGTTTTTTTTTTTTCTGGTTGTGCCTGTGGTCGGTTAAACCGCTCGCGCACGCGGCTTGTGCTGCTCCACTGTCTCACAAGGTCGTGTCCACGCCTTGCCGCGGTTGTCTTTTCGTGGGGGGCGTGGAATGCAGGTGTCCCCCCCTGTACCTTGCGGCGGCGGGAGGGTTTTCTCATCTTCCCATTGCGCAAGGTGGGTCATGCAAGTTCACACGAACCCCGCCCGCAAAAACCAGCCGTAAGCCTGCGCATGTATGGACTCGGTGCTGCAATTATGTTTTTTTCTGTAGCCGAGCCGCCAGTTGGGGATGGCGTGTTGTCGCAGTGCAACCGGGCCCAGGAGTCTGCAGACGGACACACGTACAATATACACGCTGCAAGCGCGAGTCATGTTATCGTGGGAAAACTCCTGGCATATTTTCTATATAACATCAGGGGCGACGTTCTCACATCGCACCAAATCGGAACACGTGTGTCCTCCTGCATACGTGTACCTGCGTACACACTTAAAACACAGACATCTCGCCAGCAGGCGCCAACAGACTGCTTCTGCGTCACAGCCCCCCCCCCCCCCTAACACACACCCAAACGTCGCTGTCGGTATGTGTTCGCCGGTGGACAATCCAAACGAACCGTTTTAAGTCAACCGAACACACTCTTGCACATCGCACGCAGGCGGAAAACAGACATACATACATGTACAACACTACACACGGTCATTGCCAAAGACTTCGTTCAACGCATGCCGTTTGACCAAGGCATTCCTTCGAACGGTACTCGTAGTCGTTCACCGATTGCATCTACGTTTATAAAAACACACATGATGTACACGAGGCGCGTCACGCCGGCCTGCCACTCTTCTAAAATCTCTGCTTCCTGCGTGACGTCGACAAATGCGACCCAATCGCGTGGGAGGTATGTGCGTAGTATGTCTTCGGCCAAAGCAAATACTCTACAGCACACGTTTTTGCGCTTCGTAAGCACATGAGGTACGTACACGACAGTGGTACAACACTCGTTGCTTGGCAAGCTACTTCTTTTCCTTTCTCGAATGCCTGCCCGCACTACGCCACACACGCCGGGTCGATAAATACACGACGCATACTGTAGCACTGATCGCGAAAAAATAAATCACAACACATCCATCCCCCCGTGTTGACCTAGAAATGGAAAAGGAGGGCTTCAGGATAAAAGAGGAAACGAACGCAAAATCGACGATGAACAACATCATTTACAGATCTTTCAGTTGAAAGAAATCGCTATCGCTGTCAATCCAGCCGAGAAAATCTACTCGACGGCGCTACATACCTTCAGCATGGAGCCCTTCCAAAACACAACACAAACTTGAAAAACACAGCATGAAACTTGTAAAAACTGAACCATTTCACAAGCAAGCCTGGCGTACGCGCTGCTAGTGTCACATGATGCCCCGTGGGAAACCAACCCTAAAATACATTTGTACATCACCCCGCCATAGTGCCACAAGTGAGGCGCTAGACACTTTCGACATGCCCACTTCCGGGCGTATTCTCACCCAATAAACACACAGCTCGAAGAAAAAACGCTCCGAGACAAACTACCGAGATAAACTACCGCAAAGCAGTACACCACGCGGAGTAGAAAAAACAAATGCGACTGACCTCGGCATATCAACAACACGACACGCACACCTCTTCCCTGACAACATACCCACGATGCACCGCCGAAATATACCATCTTCCTCGCCGTTCCGCGTTGCCCCAAAGCTTGATTCAACACTCCGGACAGAAAATTCTCCGTGACAGTCCCCCACACGACGAAACTTACCACACCTCTTGTATGACAGTTCCTTCCCTTGTTGCCCTAGGCCGCTTGTAAACGCTTGAACAATATCTACGCTTCAACTCCTCGCCTGTGGACAACGACTGTACGACGATTCTCGGTCAGCCTTGACTCGTTACGCAGACCAAGACCCCGCCGCGGGGGGGGGGGGGGGTACGTCAAATCGCACCATCGAAACACACACCGCACTAAAAACAGCTGCGGCTGGTTACTGTCGCGCCGTCACACCCTGGTCGTTCCGCGGAAAGACCCACGCTGCAAGCATCGGCCCGTCGCATTCTCCCCACGCGTCAACCCACTCGGCCACCCGCATGCCGCGAACGCCTTCGCCCTCGTCATCGTCCCACCCAGCGGCGGGTCCACCGCTACCGCTGCCGCCGCCGCCGCCGCCGCAGTGGCGGTGTCGTGGTTTTTCGTCCAGCAGGAGAGCCACGACTCTAGCTCCCGGAGTTGTGGCACAACTCCCGTGAGTCATGCTGTTTCTGCTGCTGCCACCGGCGGCGGCGGCGGCGGCGGCCCTAACGCCACTGCTGGTAGAAACGCCGCGGCGGACTTTAGATGCCGTTTTCTTGCCCTTCGGGGTGGCGGCATGTCTCCTACGGTCTCCTTGAGGAGACATGCTGGGGGTACGATCGACGCCGGCGCTCATCGACGGGCACGTCCTTGCGTCGCCACCAACAGCGCTGCGATCACCTCCTGCGCAGGAGGGGCCGGGTTCTGCGGTTGTCGGGGCGTCGGACACCGAGTCCGACGGCGACACAGGAACGTCCTCGTTGATCAGCCGGCCCCGAATCGCGGCGGAACACGCATCGAAACGGGACGAAAAGCACACGACGAAGTTGGTACCGGCCGGGTGACCACGGGCAACCACCTGTCGTGGGGGAGGGTAGGGACGGGGAGCACTTCAGTGTCATACTGCAAATTCATGCATCGGGGGGAAGAACGTGCACGGATCGCGGCAGCGGATTGTATCAACCGTGCGATAGGAAAAATGTTGCAATGGGTTGTATGTACAGATCATGAGGGTGTGGTGACTTCTCATACATGTATGCACAATACTTTTTCCTTCGGGAATTTTATCGCTTGATAAGTATCGCTTGGTAAGACTATGCCCAAACAAAATGGACAGCGGCTATTGCTGCTGTAATCCGATTGTACACAAATCGGCTTCACCGCCGGCAAGGGAAAGGGACGGTTTCAATCCTTCTCCCGATCAACATGGAGAGCGGAACAAGCTGTGGGGCCTGGCTCCTGTGTCACGCGGCGGCTGGTGCGCCCGAAAAATTGCGGACATCTGCCGAGATTATCCAAAGTCGACGTCTAGAACAAACAGGGTGACGCACACAAGACACCACCACGTTTTTTTGGTAGGCAGCCGGTTAGCTTGGTACATGCTAGCAACAGACAAACACACACGTGCAAGAACGGATCACAAATAAGTGACGCCCCTTTTCCTCGCACTTCCGGTGCCGCTCTTCGCCGCTGTGTTCAGGCACACGGCACGGGGAATCGACCCGGCACGGAAAAAAAACTCCTCGAAAATGTAGGCTTGTTCCAAGAATAATCCATCGGATATGAAACTCACCTCCTCCATGAGCCGAGTCATCCCTTGACCGCTAGTGTACGGCTGAGCCCTGGGAACCACGAACTCGATCCCGCGCTCGCTGAGCTCACGGGCCGCCCGCCTCCCTGCCAGCCAGCGGAGGAGTCTTGACATGTTGTGGACGTCGATCCGCCCGCTCTCGACGCTCCTCTTCAGGCGTCTCTCGTCATCGGGCCCGACGGTAAATCCGGGCCGGCAGAGGATTTCGGAAACGACGGCGACTACACCTGATTTGTCGAGCTCCGGGCGGAACATGAAGCCTAGAGGCGACTCGTCCCGCTGTGAATCCTGAATTCCTGCCTCCTCCCCCGTTGGCACTGCTTCTGCCACCGGCGAGGAGAGCGGGGAAGGGTGAGTTTGGGGTGTTGATGTTGCCGTTGATAGGGTGCCACTTGTCGCACCCGTTGTTGCCTGTTGAAGTTCCTCGTCGACTTGGTCCGCATTCGGGCCGTCGCTTGCACGATGCAGTGCCCCGGGCTGACTGCCTGCGTGCAGCAGTGTTGTGGACCCGTCCTTCCATTCCCGCGGAGGGCCGGCTTGGCGCAGGGCAATGGCGATGTTGCTGCACGTCGGCGCCATGTGCTCGACCCCCCCGGCAGGGGCGGATGATTTCGAAATGCTATTCTCCCGCAGCGGTAGGCCAGCACCCCAACTCTTCCCGTTGTCGGCGATGCCGCTGCAGCTGTTGTACGGAGGTGCTACGCGCTGTCCCATGTGCCCCATGTTTCCTGTCGTCGACGTTCTCCAGCTCGGTTGCAAGTGCTGCATACTTCCCGTCGCCGCGCTCGATGTTCTCCAGTAGCTCGGTATTCCAAATCCTAACCCGCACTTGAAGTGCGGCGCTCCCTGTCTTTCTATCTCCATTATTGTTCCTCGCTCTTCTTCGACGTTAGCAAGTCATTGCGTAGGTTCGAACTATGTTAGAGAGAGAGAGAGAGAGAGAAAGAGAAAGAGAGAGAGAGAGAGAGAGAGAGAGAGAGAGAGATGCTGCTGCTGAATTCCTGAGCGTGTTGTGCTTGTGCAGAGCTGGTGGGCAGAGGGGAAAGTGGGAAACTTTTTAGGTCGTGGAGAACCAAAGAACTGAGAACATCCTCGATTTGACACTGAAATTCCCAAATCGCCTGCATCTATAACCCTCCGCATCCTGGCGCAATCAGCCAATCAGATCGGGGCTGAACTCTGCCATCGATCGAACCGCCGCGCACAGCAAATTGGTGTTGTGCACTTCTGTTCTGTGCACAGCAGAGACAGCCCCACACTATGGGCGAAAAATACATCTATCACCTAGTGCAGGGGGCGAGGTGGAAGGATGCGGGCGGGGACGGGTACCTGCCGCCAACGTACGAAGCGGATGGGTTCATCCACGCCACCAAGGAGGCCGGTCTCCTTCTGCCCGTGGCAAACCACTTCTACACAGGTCTCTACGCCAATGCAGTGCATCGGCATCATGTCTGGAGAAGAGTAGCAGCATCGGTATCGTGTCTGGAGTGCTGCAAGAGACCCCCATTTGCGGTATCACTCCTCTCTGCTTCTTTTTCAAGTTTCGTAGTTCAACGCCTATACTGCTGTAAGTTACTGCTGCAGACTACTGAAGACTACACGAACAACACAGCAGCGCTGCGCCTCGTCCCTCGCTTTGAATAATGCGTTTCAACAGCAGTGGTACGTGAGTTGCCCGGCACGACCCTAGTGAATACAACGCCGGTGTCCCCCCTTTGGCACAACTGACCGCCTTGAAACACGCAGATGTGCCGGGAAGTTTCATCTGCCTTCGCATCGACACAACTGTCTTGAAGTCGGAGGTCCGGTTCGAGCCAGGCGAGTCGGCTTTAATAGGGTCTAATGAAGCAGTGATTAGACATGCCAAAAGTTGTTCGCTGTGTTGGGATGCGGCTGTAGCACCAAGCTAGCTTTACGTGCCGTAGCCAGGTGTTGTGTGCAATTTTTTTGTGTGGACGTTAGCGTGTTGTTATGCTCGCATATCTCTGCGCGGCAACAGAAGCGTGCATATACCGTTCTGGCACATGTTTGGTGTGCGGCGAGACATACAGGCAACCCAAAGGCATACAAAAGTCTAGTGCAGCTAACCTTAGAGCTCTGCCTGCCATTTCGGCGGCCGGCCCTTGTCTGCCCTCGCCGGTTGCATAACAATAATGACTTCATTTTGAACCTGCAGCTGCTCCTGTTGGGGACAAGCCTGCGCACTCGAAAACCGAGGCAGAAAATCGCGGATCTACCGATCAAGACGGGCAGACACCACAGCCAGTGCTGTTCCCTCATATTTACGGGCCGATAGACTCCGCCGCGGTTGTTGCGGAACTGGCGGTGGAAAGGTCAGACGAGGGTGCATTCTTGTCGATAGAGGGCATGTCCTAAGCGTAGTCCGCGGACGGACCCAGGAAAACGGATATGTATTGCTGACGGCGCCGAACTGTCGAGCTCGTTTGTTTGTTACGGTGTTCTAGAGAGGCGGTAAAATGAGGGTCCTCTGGCGGGGGCTGACAAATAGAGGCTCCTCCAGAGTATCTGGAGCTGTGGGCGCTGACAAATATGCTTCAGAATGAATGGGAGAAGAAGGGGGGGGGGGGTATCATGTTTTGCAGCCTGGCTACATAGTTGCTAGACAATTGACCAGAACGGGAGAGGGAGGGCAAGGAATACAGTTTTGAGCGGGAGCGATCTGCTCTTCCCCCGCGAGTATGTGGCCGCGGGCGTGCGCAAACCAACGCGCGCTCCGAAAGATAAAACCGGCAGTGGTGGTGTGAACAGTCGGGTTTCGAACGCTACAGCAGCTAATAATTGAAGAGTGTGCGATTCCAGGCGGGATGAGGTATCATCACGATACGAATACCACATTTTTCGCGGAACGTGTTCAACATGGTCGCGACATGCTGCTCAGCGCGGAACATGTCAAAGAGGACGTTCGCTGTTTCATTTTCGGACGTTGGTACATTTCGTCACGCCACGACTGGATTGCTGTTGGCGGTAACCGCGTATCAAGACCCGACGTCCCTATCTCCGAGTATCCAACGCGACACGCCCCTGGTCGTCGTCAAGTTCCCGTGAGGAGCTCGTGTCGTCGGTGCTGACTCCGGCACCGAGGAATGATCGGAAAAGCGCCGGCCAAGTCAAACTGTTGTCAGAAGGAGGAACATAACAGCTGTACATCTGGACTGTGGGACACGTATTATCTGAGGACCCAAGATAGGACCCGCCGCCCTCGAGGCCTGACTCGACCTCTTTCTGTTTTATTCTCCACCAGGTCCAAATTTCGCTGCATGTGATTAAAATCATCCAGCGTGAAGATGGTCTTGGGTGGTACACGGAGGGTGTGCGGTGTGAATGATGAAACTGAGTGCCAATTTTTCTGTACTGGGACAGCGATGTTTTGGTTTGGGGTTTGGGGTTTTGAGGTTTGCATTTGCGGGCGACGCCCGTGAAAAGTACGGAAACCTTTTTTCTTACGCAGAGGCGGGCTGCACACTTGTCGATGAGTCGTCCTTGTTTTACCCACGTCCCCTCCGATTGTTCTCTGTTCGTTGGGCACGTACTTGTAGGGAATTGTAGACGGGGCAATCGTGTCCGTCCGTGTAAATCACTTGGTCGGTAGAGAGTCAGACAGAGAAGTCACCCCGGGGTTGCGCGACACACTTCCCAAGTTCATAGAAATGAAATTGCCCGTGAAACGCCAGAACGTCAGCCCCGGACATCGACAAAACCGCGGATATTAAAAGGAGAAACCAACTGACCAGGCCAGGTACCACAGTACCCGACAATTGTCCTTCTGATCCACAAAACACGTTTCGTGGCCAATGGTGATGTCTTCTCCGCTTCAACACGAAAAAATATACATAGAAAAATCTGCCTTCCGGATGCAAGTCTCAGCCGGCAAGTCGAACGTGAAAACCGTCGCAATGTACTGCAAACCTTTGCCAAGAGCAACTCTGCCTATCAATCCGCGGAGGGCAGTGCAAAGCGTTGAACACAACCTGGCCAAGCACAAATTAGCTCTTATTTACCGCGTTCAAATGGGCAAGCGTTCCGATCGAACTAACGGAAAGGTGTTATCGTTGGTGTTGTTGCGTGTGCCTCGTCTGCACATTCTCCAACTCGCTTCATGAACCCTCTGGGTTATGCTAGAACTTGTTTGTTTATTCCCCTGCATCCGTAGCATGCCACGAGGTTGTCGTCACATGTTTCTGCTTTACAATGGGATGCCAAAGAATCCTTGACATGTTTGCCTCGGTGCTGTGGCCGGCTGAAGAAGCAATAACCAAGCCCCCATCATGTCGAGAGGGACGTCGAAGGAATTGACAAATGGGCAATGGTCAAAATCGTCTACACCCAAACCACCAATAAACACGGCAGAGGAGCCCCGATGGTATGCCGCGAGACAAATCCTTTCGAAGTTGATGCCCACAAGGGCTGCAATCTAGGCCCGTACCCATTGTAATCTACCCGAGAGCTTGCTCTGGACACCCACTATACCGGGACCTGTGCGTTGTGTCCTCCAGCGGTGTCGACGAGTTTCAAGTTGCATGCGTGGGACAAAAGAACGCGGGAGATATTTCAAGAACGTCCGTGCGCACTTATACTAGGTGCACCCCGCAGTCAGTGCTGCACGTTTCCATTGAGGTTCATGCTCCCCACTCTCCAGCTACAGCTACGAACTCGTCCCTGAGGGCAGATCCACCCCGCGGAGATTGCAACGATGTCAGAGTAATGTCTGAAGGTGGCGTTCAAGTTGATTAATCTCGCTCGGCAATTACGCGTTCGCCTGGATTGGTTTAGATTAGAGGCAGGAAGTGGTAATTTGCCACAAGTAAACGTTGGCGAAAAGTATACGTTCGGGTTCTATCGACGAGCTGGCCCCAGTTGCTCAGCTTCCCGGTAGCTGAAGCCAAGTAGAGCGAGATTCATCAAACGCACAGGACGGGACGCATGCAGGGAGCTGGCGGTGAAGCGTGCACGTGCGATCAAAACGGGAATCCATTGTTTGCCCGACAGCCGGTTTTGTAACGACGACAACGCGAAGGTCGTGGCCTTGGCCGTCGGAGTTTCTAGAGACAAAGGGGGAAGATATTCTTGGCGCTCCGTCACCGGCATTAGCAAAGATGCGGGATTTGGTGCTGAAATGACAAAACTAGGAGGGAGCGACCCGGAATGAGATCTTCTCCGTTCCATCTTTGGCCGCCACGAACAAGTGGACCTATAGGAATGGAGGGCTTCGAAGTTGAAAGATTCCATTGGCAATACCTAGCATGACAAATGCTGCAAGAAGGAGAGGTCAACAAATCAACGGAGAGGGACTCATAGTTGTGCATGCCGTAGTCGTTAGACCATTGACCTCGCATCCCTACAAAGCCGGGACGGAGCACGTCGGGATCTCACCGGACCAGGCTCAAGCGCGAAGCGCCGTGAGGCATTCGGCGAGTCGCATGGAGGGTGCGCTGCATCCTGCTAAGGGTGTTCGGTATCTTCTTGTGCTTTTCCTTGCATACGGATGACAGCTGCGAATGGTTTAATTTTTTTCTGGTGCTTTCACTTGCAGAGACATTTATGAGCACTGTGTAACTGCTTCGAGGGTGCTTGACCAATTGAACACAACGTGGTGCGATCGACCCTTTGGGCGGAGTGAGGGTTCTCCACCCCGCACAACATGATCTACTCGACCACCATTATGGTTAACGCAAAAAAAAAAACACAGAAGAAGAAAAATAAAAGCGGTAACCTTGTTGTCGAGCTCACGAAGTGATCGGCGTGTTTTACAACGTCGTTGCTAAGCGACGAAAACTCAACCCCGATGGCAAACACAGGGAGTAGGGGAAGAGGGATAGATGGATAGACAGCTTTTTTCTCGGCAGCGGTGGCAGGCAGTGTTTAGTTGTTAAAACCAACCCCCCCCCCCTCCCCCCTCGGCCTTGTTTGCCATCGGGGTTTGGGTTTTCGTCGCTTGGCAACGACGTTGTAAAACAAGCCGCCCCCCCCGGTGTTTGCCATCGGGGTTGGGTTTTCGTCGCTTGGCAACGACGTTGTAAAACAAGCCCCCCACTCGGTGTTTGCCATCGGGATCGGGTTTTCGTCGCTTGGCAACGACGTTGTAAAACAAGCCAATTCACTTCGTGAACTCGGCAACCAGGTTACCGTTTTTTTTTTTACCTCGGTTTTTTTTTTTGGCGGTAACCAAAATGGTGGTCGAGTAGATCATGTTGTGCGGGGTCGAGAACCCTCACTCCGCGCAACGGGGGATGATCGCACCACGTTGTGTTAAAATGGTCAAGCTTCCTCGAGGCAGTTACACAGTGCTTACAACTGTCTCTGGAAGTGAAAGCACCAGAAAATAAATTAAGTCATACGTAGCTGTCATCCGTACGCAAGGAAGTAAGCCAAGATGCCGAACACCCTTAGCAGGATGCAGCTCACCCTTCATGCGACTCGCCAAATACCTCACGGCGCTTCGCGCTTGGTGATGTGAGAGCCTGGTCCGGTGAGAACCCGGCGTGCTCCGTCCCGACTTTG